AATTTACCTGATTTATTCAGACATTTTTTTGAATGAAACTCAAAAAGTACCACTTACATGAAGAAGGAATTTAAGTCTGCGTCATTCATAAGCACGGGTTTGACAGATAAATTATACGAATTTTGAATTAGATTTTCAAATGCAGAAGAAACAAGACTCTTGAATTTATTAACTTTTGAGAAAAATTTGGTTTTTATTCGTAAGCTTCGTTTTTTGATTCTAATTCAATAGACTTCAATTATGATATGCAACTGTGGCAATCGTACGTAAATTTCACAAATGATTTCATAAAAGCTTTTTCTCACAGTATATTTTTTGAATTTAAATATTTGTGGTAGACATTTATGGCATTCTCAACAAGACTGTTTGGATATATTTATAAATTCAGGACTCAATATTGTTTTCTAAAAACTAATATTTAAACTTTGCTCGTTGACAGTTAACCAGAGAATTAGAGACGGGAAATTATACTTCCATCATAAAGATGTTTATCAACGTTGCCAGGCTAATATTTAGATAACAAAACTTCATTCATTAAATACTAGTAGAATAAAGCAAATAAGTTAGCAGGCGATTAATGTATGTGTATTTTTATTGACTAATCAACATTACCTTATTAGGCTTCCTTGACAGATAATATTGCTAAGGGGAGGAAGAAAACATGGTAGAATGTTCAACTGCTAAAAGAATTCCATTTCTTAGCAGAGAATCTTTCTTTCAGTTATTTCTGTTTTCAAACAACATCTATCTTTTAGGTCAGGTATTGCTTATTAATCTCTGAGATTTTTAATAATTTGATATTTGTATATTATAGAAAATTTGTTGTTATTTCAGTTTTTCACTATTATGAGAATGTGCCTGTGAAGAACAAAAAAAAGTAATCATAAGACCGTTATTCTGTTAACACAATGATTAGGCGATACATTAATTTTACAATATCCAAGTTAACAAAAAGAAAAAGCAAAAGTTGCTATGTAAGTACCGTGAAATAAGTATAATAATAATAATGATAACAATAATAACAATAATAATAATGGTAATAATACTAATAATATAATAATAATAATAATAATAATAATAATAATAATAATAATAAATTATAACAATAATAGTTTAACGTTTCAAACATTTGGTTAGGTTTATGGTGACAAACTGTATATTTCCATACTTTATCTAAGCTTAATTTACTATAAGTTTGAAATATTAAAAGTGCAGCAGTTTTTGCTTAATTAAATGCTTTCTGAATTTCTTCTGAAGATAATTAATTAACGCAGTTGTGTTTCAAATAGCTAACACCTCACATGGCGCTAGAGAAGTGATGGTATTCTTGCTTGTTTTAGTCTTAAGACTGTTGCTGTATATGAACTACAAAGAATTCAACATTATTATACTTGTTTCAGGAATCATAACTTTGGAGCAAGCGTCAAAATTGGGATATGACTTATTACTACTTGTTACTTTTATTTCAAACCATATTATTTATTTCTATTTCGGTAAGTTTCACACAACAATGTAGATTTTTGCAAAAAAACAACGCTTGTAAGAAATTTTAAAGAAGCAAAAAGTAAACGATTGTAGAAATCTGTTGAATCCATAAGATTTTGTCATCAAACCGAATTTCATATTGTTTTATAAAAATATACCATATATCATTTGCATTTTTGAGTTTCTTGCCTGTCAAGTAACCTCAGTAAATTAGTGATGATAGATAGACGCAAAAATTTTTCCTCAATTTTAATTGTTATTTGCACAGATTAAGGGGGTAAAAAATGTAAAAGAAATAAGGACTTTTTGTGCTGTTTTTCACTTGTGTGATTACCAAAATATTTCTCAACTGAGAAGGCAGAGTACTGGCAAAAAAAAAAAATTTGTTTACTGAAACCTGTAGACAAATTTATTTTCAAAGCACTTATTTAATAAACCTTCTATTTTGTTTGAATGTAGTGAGAACTTTCGATGTCTCATTACCAAAGAGCTTATTGAACTAAGTAACAGGTTTATAAAAAGTCATATTTAGTCTACATATATCATTTCTGCAATAAGAAATATATAGAAGAAGATGATTTTAAGAAGATGATAATATTATGATCTATATATACTTAAAGTAACCATGACACTTCAAAAAAATTTATGTTCATATGTTGTTTTTGACAAAAATGACACTTAATGCTTCAGGTCTCAGATACTTTCGGTCTTTTTAAAATCTGTAAGTTTTTTTGAGTGACAGTTTAGAACCTTTTTTAATT